GCCTGGACCAGAACCTGCGTGGCTTTCTGAGTCAGGAGGGGACGCATCCTCCTGATGTTTCTTTCAAATCACTCAATGTAGTGCATTACAATACTAAACCACCTGAAAGAAAGATCATCTGATTATAGTGAAGTAGCTAATACATTTAATTAATATAGTAGGCTACATCCTACAAAGACAATTTTGGGCTAGACCAGGGGCGGCTGTGGTTCATAATGTACATGGTGGTTCTCTAACTGGAGAGTTGGTAGTTGAATCTCCAGCCTTTGCATTCATAATGGTGATGTGTCCGAATGTCTTTATTGTATATGTCAAAGCACTCTGAAGGGTAAAAGAGTGGACAAGTGCTATATAAATGCAGTCTATCTGCCTAGATTCCCTTTTTCACAAAACAATGTTGTGATCCACATCTAGTTTAAATCATGGGGTTGTCTAGGTTTAGTATTTCCCGATGAAGAAAAATTATATATATTTAAAAACAATGTTATTGTGCATCTTTGTAAAATAACCAGTACCACAGGCTTTTATTATTAAAACAACTAAACTGTTTGATGCACCTATCCATTGTGGCCTGAAGTTTGAAAGTGAAGTCAACCTCTGCCACAGTGCTGCTTTCAGCCAACGGCCAGGTAAACCTGTAGCTGGCGTTATGCCTTAGCCGTCTGTTTGATCACAGTAATGGAGAAAAAGTCAGATAAGATGCAGTGAGCACAGGCAGCCGTCCCCTGGCACTGCAGGGAGAGTGGAATGTATGGAGGGAATGACACAGGAATATAAAAAGAGGGGGATACTATAGAGGGTTGGATAAAGGATGAAGCTGGAAACACATGGAGGAGAGGTAATGAAAAGACGGATGTTGGGTATAGATAATGAAAGGTGAAGCATGGGGAGACAGACAAAACCATTCAAAACCTGGTCATCTTCAGCTTTTATCACCTTAATGGCCCCTGAGTTAAAGGTTTGTCGCTTTTGATGCATACATTTTGTATCATATAAACCTAGGGAGTTCCCTTCAACCATCGGGGAGCCTTTCTCCATTGTCACATGATGTCAATGCTTTTCCGTTTACAGTAACGAGCACTGAAGTCTCACATCTACTAGAAAGCTCTACTGCCTTTTTCATATTCTTCCATATCCAAATTGGCCTGACATTTTCACCAAAGCATGATGACCTCTTTTCTGAGACATGCCCACGCAGCTCGCGTTGCAGCATTACATTACATTACATTGCATTTAGCTGACGCTTTTATCCAAAGCGACTTACAATAAGTACATTCGACCAGGAAGACACAACCTTGAAGAAAACAGAATCATATAAGTACATCAGGTTTCATAGAGCCAAACAGCATGTTGCCTTTGGGTATTGCTTAGTTTTGAAGAATCGAGAAAATGTGAAGGAATAACTGGAAGTGCGGGGATGGCTCTGTGCCTTCTGGGCCGAGTGAGCGAGCTGAACGACGGGGTCCATCGTCTTCAGCCTGTAGGCTTCTGGTATCAGCATGAGTGTAGTGAATGTGGAAAAGCAGTGAAGGAGTGGTAGTTTTTGTCTAACTCTGCTTCACTGCAAAAAACTGAAATGTTGACTTTAATTAAATGTATTATGTCAACAGATTTCAAATAACTTTCACATTAGGTTAGTTGTCAGAAATAACATTAGGTTTAAATAAAAAATATTAGGTTCAACTTGCTTCAACTGTTGTTCATTTAATAAAAGTCAACGGTTCAGTTTTTTCAGTGTGCACGTTTCATCGAGCTTGTCTTTTCCAGGTTAAGGAGAAGACAAGACTCAAACTCTGTCATCGCTTAAGCAAATTCTGAAAGACAAAAACAAATGTAAGTGCCTGATTGTGAAGTGAACAAAACTATTTAATTAAAAAACCTTTTTTTTACCATTCAAGAGTTTAAGGAACCAAATGTGGTAAAGACAGATAGGGATTTATCTGTTTGGATACAAATAGGGTGTTTCTTTGCTGACAAATATTTTGTAGGAGCAGATAGTAGAAAGTAGATCTTTGATTTTTTTTAAATAAAGAAATTGGCTTCAATCTCTGTAAGATGTATTGATCCAAACCGAGACATGTGTTCTGCAGCAACAGCAGAAGTCTATTAACTGAGCAGGAGGCAAAATGACCAATTCAATTTCATCACATACAAAAATCCCCAAGACGAAATAAGCACTTTTCTTTCATCACACACTCTTAAACTAATCTGAGTGTTTTTCTCTGATGATCTTGGACTTCTAATCCAATATCTGTAGACACGATATTTCCCTGAAATGCCAGGAAATGGAACCCTACGCTTCTGAGTCAATCTGTAAACTGCTGACTTCTGCCAAACCTTCTGCTGCTATCACAGCAAAGCACATTTGGCAGGATTAGAAAACAATATACTTAATTTGATTGATGTTTGTGATATTTTATTTAAACTTATTGCGGTTTATTCATAGTCTTAGTTTTAGATTTTTCTAAATATTTCCCTCCGTTTTCTACTGCAATAATGATCTTTAACCTCAGGCGTTAATAAAGTCAATCTTTCCTGTCCTCAGTTTGTGATGCCAGAGGGCTTCCAAATGTTTCTTTTGTTAGTGTTACTTTCAAATATAACTGAGGACATTTTCACATATTTTGTAAATAGTTTGAAGTTATTTGAGAACTCAGAGAGGTGTACAGTAGATATATGTTTATTTCAAGTGTAAAATGATAGTTTGGTATGGAGGTTTGAGAGACAGTTCAATAACTAAAGATTATTAACAGCAGTAATCGTCTTTGCTGAAGGGTTGCACAATACATTGAGTCCCAACTTGCTCACATGTTTTAAATAACCTAAATATCAAGTATTATCCATTATTTAAAGGGATGATTCAAATGTTTTGAATTTAATTCTGTCTGTTACTTTAATAATACTAATTCATGGTATTTATTTAAGCGCTTTACATTACATATTCGACATATTATACATTTAATAATGTCGACAACACCCACAGGAGCAATTTAGGGTGAAGTGTCTTGTCCAAGGACCAACAGCCCGTTGACGAGGTCTCTATAGGAATGATACCCATCTAAACAAGGTTTTATCTACCTGTCTTTAAGGGTTATATACAAAATAATGTACTCATCCATAGTCAGTGTTTTAACTACAGTAGAATGCAGTTTAGAAAAGACTGACAGGAGCAAAGCAAAGTCGTACTGTGGATGGGGGCAGCCATTTCCTTTTCGTAGAAAGGAGCCAGTTGATGTGATTAGGCCACCTAGTAAGGATGCCACGTGGCCGCCACTTAAGGGAGTTTTTCCATGCATGTTAAGCTGGGAGGAGAGTAAGAGGGGCACCAAGGACCAGGTGGAGGAATGATATCTTCACGCTGGCCAGGGAGCACTTCAGAATCCCCCAGGCAGAGCTGGTCGATGTGCCCAGGGACAAGGGAAGGTTGGGGCCCTCTCCTGGAACTGCTGGATCCTGGATGGATGGACAAAAGCCAAATTAATTGAAGCGTGCATCTAACCAAAGTGTCACAATAACATCAACTATAATAACCGATAGAGGCAGTGCTAGTTCAACAACTCCCTTGTAAAATGAACTTCAACATAATATCAGCACAAAGAGTTCAACAGTAAACAGTGACACAGAGCAGGTAGAACAACTTCTCAAAATCAACTGCAACAGCCACAGGCTGAGCTGTACGGTTCCCAAAATGTGGGGACTGTCTTGCTAATGTGTATGTGATGAAGTTTCAATTAGAAAAACATTTGCAAGTGTGTGTTGTTGATGGGAGTTAGTGGCAATACAGATCCCATGATGAGGTCAAATTACAGTTTTTGTCCCTGTCGCATTGGGCTCTCTGATGGCAATGAAAAGTGCTGAAAATGCTTAAGATGTAGTTTACACTTAAACTTGAAAGTATGAAATGTTGCTGCTGCCCTCTCCTTAGCAGTACATTGCTTTGCTTCTGTCCATGTGCTTCCGTTTGATTCTCAAAACTGGGAGCGTGCAGACTGTCATCTAAGCAAGTTCACTTACCTGCTATGGATAAGTGGCTCATACAACCCCACTTAAAAGATAAAAACGATCCCTTTAAAGTCACTTACCTCAAAATATGCTTTGTAGTGTAGTACACGGTTGTCTTTTGTGTTGTTGTAGTAAGTAATGAGCAGGCTTGGCGTCTTGATCCACGACCCATTACATGTGAACGGTTGAATAAGAGGCGAGCTGCTCGTGCTGCCTGATACGACCATTTTAAGCCACTGACCCGCTGTGTAAAATAAATCATTACGTTCTAAATAACATTTCACAGACCAGAGTTATCAAAGCAATTAGCAAGAGCCTTTAGGTTGTTCGTTACAGTTGAATTATGTACAGCAGATGGTCATTCATGCACCTGAAGATGTATGTCTGCCATCAGCGTGAGTCAGAAGTCAAACTGTCATGTGCTCCAAGAAATGCATAACTCTCATGTTTCTCTATATGCAGCAGAGGTGGGGACTCGAGTCACATGACTTGCACATGTAGGACTTACTCCCACCTCTGATAAGCAGATGCATTTGATTTGGCACACACAGATTTAGGCGACGCTCATCATCTTTAGAGAATAAAGTTATTTATGAATGTGCTGGATAACCAAGAAAATGACTTCCTGAGTTCTGCACGATTAGAAACAAAAAATGCTGATTCTAAGCTACATTTGGCTGAAAACCTTTGACCTATTTACACAATTATTTTTAGTGTTAATCCTAAGGTTAATGTCTTGTTATCTGTCTTTACCTCCTGCTCTGAGATAATTCAGCATTCTGACTCATTTCTCCTGTCGGAGCAAAATAGGTGGAACTCATTGGCCAAAATGCAACACACACAAACAGCCACAAGATACTAAGGCCTTTTCATAAGGAGTTATGGAAAGGCCTTAGTATCTTAAAAATGATGCCTTTTCGTGATCAGAGTTCAAATCAGGAAATGTTTCTTCCCTCTAATCATCAGACTGAGTGTGTTTGCTCTCTTTCCCTTAATAGGTGGAGAGCAGAAGGACATTGAGGTATTGAAGCAGGAAGCAAAGCTGGTCATTGAGGACTATGACCCCTCCAAAGAATACAACTTTAAGATAATTGCTGTGAGTGGAGGACAGCAGAGTAAACCTCTTCAGGCCAAACATGAAGGTAAGAGCCTTTTTCTGAATCACATCAGTTTGCTTTCAGACTGGAGGCTCACACAAGTAGCATCATATCATTATCATTTGTTTAAAGAGTGCCCTATAATGCTTTTGGGGGTTTCCCTTTCCTGTAGTGTGTTATATAGGTTTGTGTGCATGTAAATGGTCTGCAAAGGGTAAAATCCCCTGCCTGAAACACCTCCAATGGATTCCTTTGCTTACTTCCATAAAGTACTGACATCACTATGTAACACTTGCCCTTCTATTGGCTATCGCTGCACCACATTGTATGTGATAGGCTAAGGGGCAGCCGGACATCTCTAAGCGGTTGACCAATCGCAACAGAGCCGGCCAGCTAACCAATCAGAGCAGACTGGGCTCTGGTTTCAGACAGAGGGTGAAAAGAGGTGCTGCAGCACAGGCAGTATGAGAAAAATAAAGAGCTTTTTGAACATTAAAGCATGGAGACATGTCCCAGTAGAGACACTACATACTGATATACACCTGAACATCAGCAGGAGAGGACTCTTTAAAGTAGAGACACTACATACTGATATACACCTGAACATCAGCAGGAGAGGACTCTTTAAAGTAGAGACACTACATACTGATATACACCTGAACATCAGCAGGAGAGGACTCTTTAAAGTAGAGACACTACATACTGATATACACCTGGACATCAGCAGGAGAGGACTCTTTAAAGTAGAGACACTACATACTGATATACACCTGAACATCAGCAGGAGAGGACTCTTTAAAGTAGAGACACTACATACTGATATACACCTGAACATCAGCAGGAGAGGACTCTTTAAAGTAGAGACACTACATACTGATATACACCTGAACATCAGCAGGAGAGGACTCTTTAAAGTAGAGACACTACATACTGATATACACCTGAACATCAGCAGGAGAGGACTCTTTAAAGTAGAGACACTACATACTGATATACACCTGAACATCAGCAGGATAGGACTCTTTAAAGTAGAGACACTACATACTGATATACACCTGAACATCAGCAGGAGAGTACTCTTTAAAGTAGAGACACTACATACTGATATACACCTGAACATCAGCAGGAGAGGACTCTTTAAAGTAGAGACACTACATACTGATATACACCTGAACATCAGCAGGAGAGGACTCTTTAAAGTAGAGACACTACATACTGATATACACCTGAACATCAGCAGGAGAGGACTCTTTAAAGTAGAGACACTACATACTGATATACACCTGGACATCAGCAGGAGAGGACTCTTTAAAGTGGAGACACTACATACTGATATACACCTGAACATCAGCAGGAGAGGACTCTTTAAAGTAGAGACACTACATACTGATATACACCTGAGCATCAGCAGGATAGGACTCTTTAAAGTAGAGACACTACATACTGATATACACCTGAACATCAGCAGGATAGGACTCTTTAAAGTAGAGACACTACATACTGATATACCAACCCTGTCTCCTAAAAAGTACGTTCCCACAGAACTAAACTGCATTCTCAATTACGTTTAGCTAGAAACGTATTTTCTCCCACGTTACGTTTCTTATGAACGTATCTTAAATACGTTTATTTTCTACATATCTTTGCCATTTATTGTCTATTGGCTTATAATAATGATGATAGTCATTTATAAATATCATTTTAGAGCACACATTTGAAATCAGTAGGCGAGGCTGTAATTTCACTAGCTGTTACTCTCATGAGCGAGGCAGAAAATAATAGTTTTAACATGCCAAAAAGCTGCTGTGTCGTTTACCTCAAACATTAAAACAAATCCAGAGTTACGTGTTTCTGTACTTCCTCTAAGAAGAAAGGACAGTAAAAGAAGAGCTCTGTGGCTTCAGGCTTGATCGCCGTTCAAATGACAGCGTTGGTTTCCCCAAAAGTGGGCGGGGCTGTAAAGTGACGTAGATTTGACTCATCTATTATTCAAAACCATTCTATTTATTCTAACGTAAATTACATGCAGTGTTTTATCTTTTTATTTTAAATCGTATAATGTCGGACTTTTGTTGCCGTCTGTGAGGAAAAGAAATGGGGCTTAGAGCCTCAAAATACTGAAATCTGTATTTTTGAAAATCTTTTTTTCCTTCTAATTTGTTATTCTTTTCTAAATAACACACTGTTATTTACTCAACAATAACACACAATTATCCTTATTTTTATTTATTCGTTTAATTCTATATTATTGGGCTTTTTAGCCGTAAATAAATTCACCTGAAACAGACGTAGGCCTATAAGGGACATTTTGAGCGATACACACCACAAACCCACTGAACAGATTACCCAAGATCCTCAGTTTGAAGCTCGTTGATTGGATGTTTTAGCCGCAATGCATGTTGGGATATGATGTTAATGCGATATGATATCCGAAAACATTTTACAAAAACACATCTGCCGTAGTTCTTTATTTATAGAGCCCTGATGAGAAGACTTCTAGACAAACAGGAGAACTGCTGCCAAAACTGAAAACGTGACGTGGATCATAAATATATCAACAATTAAACAACATCTTGCATTTCTTTTCACAAAATACGTCTCCTTGCAGTATCAATAGTAATTTGGCTGACTTTTATATTTGATCCAATTGGTAGATAGATTATATTTACACCATAACGGTGCACAGCTGAAAGAAAAGGACTTGTAGTTTTTAAAGATATTACTGATTTTCTTTGAATATCAGAATGTAAATACTGAGTTGAGAGAATACTCAGGGGATTTGGGTGATGGCAGACACATCTATGGAATCACAATTTCAATAGCTTACCATTAAATGACGGATATGCCTTTCTGTCTGTGATGTTTTACAAATCAGATATTAATGTGTAGAAGTAAAACATGAGAAATAGTATAGTGTTAGGGAATAATTTGCCTAGGTATTCAACCTTTGACACAGTTCATCATTTTCCCCTCTCACTGTCTCCTTTCCCATGGCATAGTTCTACGGCCTTGGGTATTGCTGCTATCTCTCTTAAGGAGGGGCAGCTTGGCCGCATTGTTGTTGCCAGTCTATGACAGAGCACAAGCCGCCATGAGGTAATTTACTGTTCAGGGACTATAGGCTCCCTGGCGCGCATTCTTTTCTATGGACGAGAGCTCTAGTTAGATTCAGGGTCCATATTGCTTTAATCTCACTGATAAAGAATGTTGATTATTACACTCTGAACTAGATAAAACCTCGAGCTACAGAAAGAGTTCTTCAGAATTGGTTTGGCAACCGCTGTGTCAACTCGTGACACACCACCTGTCTTGTCAACTCTCCGGCCGAAACTCCAAATAAACCATCAGTGTTTGACATCAAAGCTCCTGCTCATCCCGTGTCTCCTTCATGAGTCGGTGACTCCCACTGCATTGCTACACAGAAGTTTCCTCCACATATAGCAATATCCTGTAAAATTATTTAAAAACATGAATAAAACTACACATCTTCAGATGTTATACATACATAAGTGTCCTACGCTAATAATACAAAGTTATTATTAGTATGCTGTGTGTACCTTGTGTGCACCGCCTAGTGGTTAAAGCATGTTATTGAATTATTTTTGTTGAATAATGTTATTTGATGAAAAACATATTAAGAGTACATACTTTCATAGGGGGAAAGTAGAAGGTCAATGATAGAAATATAGAATATAAAAAGTCAAGAAGATACTGTAAGTGATCTCTACAATAAAACAGTTTAGTGCAGGATGTACAAAGATATTAATAGGAGGATGTGCAAAACAGACAAACTAATTAACCTTTATTAACACATTAAAGAATACTTTAGGTTAAGGTCTTCTTTCAAATAAGAAAAAAGCTTTGGGGGTATCTATCTACAGATAAATATTAAGCCTGACAAAGAACTTAATGTCTAAAATATTGCTTTCCTGCAATGTTAACTATGTTGAAGCACTTATTTTAACTGATATTATACACATTAATTATACTCTTATGTATGTAGATAGTATACGAAATGTGCAGAATATGACAGTTTAATGGTGGGGGTACACACATATTGATAGATGTCTTGTAATGCGCTGTTGAGGAACCTGTGACCCAAGTTTTTCATTCATTGCATAACTACACCGTAGTTGTGTATATGATATGTCAATAAACCTTTGAAAATCTTGAAATCTTGAAAGAGATGTGCAAAATAGCCATTATATAGTCTTTAATTAACTATTAGTAGAGAATAACGAGTAATGAATACTTTATAGAGATCTGCAGATAAATGTGTAGTCTTCTCAAGCACCAACTATCAAATACCTCTCCTGATTGTTGGCACTTGACAATCACCTTCCCTGAATTTTACTCAGGTGTAACTAAAGTCTGCTTTAAGGGTTGTTTATATTCCACATCATTAATCAGAATCTGCAAAGTAACTAAAATAAATGTAGTGAAGTAAAAATACCAGGTTAACCTCTGAATTGTAGTGGAGTAGAATTACAAAGTAACAATGAGCTGTCATGTGGGTATATATTAATGCTGCCCATTATGGATACAAGCGATTTTCACCCATTTAGTAATTACATGTTTTAAATGTGTACACACCAATGTGTTTCCTATCGCCTAAACCTCCAGGGCTGTACACAGTTTAATACTGTCAACTTCTAATTTTGGGAAAAAATGAAAACGTTTATTAAAACTACAATTCCCAGTAGAGACGTGCCATAGAGAACATGTTGCGAAACACAATAGCCAGCATGTGTAGTTCTGGGGGGACGTTCAAGTCCAGTTTTGAATAGTCTCCCGTGGTTTCGTTCCATTTCAAAGAGCTTGACGCTCGGCGTAACCTTGGCGCACTGCCACTCCAACATCCAATCCCAGAGCTTGAAGATTAATCACGGGGTTTGTCAACGGGACTGTAGTCCCAAACGATAGCTGGGGATTATGGGTAGTGTAGTGTCTTCGGCCATCCTAAACTGCATTTTTTTCCGGATAAAATATTGCATTAACAACACCACATCTGGCTTCACAGAGATCTTCTGTTACTGTCCTTTCTTCTTAGAGGAAGTACAGAAACACGTAACTCTGGATTTGTTTTAATGTTTGAGGAGCAATAAACGACACAGCAGCTTTTTGGCATGATACAACTATTATTTTCTGCCTCGCTCATGAGAGTAACAGCTGGCGAAATTACAGCCTCGCCTACTGATTTCAAATGTGTGCTCTAAAATGATATTTATAAATGACTATTATCATTATTATAAGCAAGACAATAAATGGCAAAGATATGTAGAAAATAAACGTATTTGAGATACGTTCATAAGAAACGTAACGTGGGAAAAAATGTTTCTAGAAGATATGTAGAAAATAAACGTATTTGAGATACGTTCATAACGAACGTAACGTGGGAGAAAATACGTTTCTAGCTAAACGCAATTGAGAATGCAGTTTAGTTCTGTGGGAACGTACTTTTTAGGAGACAGGGTTGGATATACACCTGAACATCAGCAGGAGAGGACTCTTTAAAGTAGAGACTCTACATACTGATATGAACCGGAAAATGAGCGTAATAGGGACGCTTTAATGAAGGAGCCTCATTCTGCTGAGAGTGAGACTACATACAGAGTTTATTATGCCGCAGAGTTTGAAAGTGAAGTGGATGGATTGTGATTGGATCTATGTGACAGCAGGCTGCATGTCCAATCAATGATGTCACAGCAGGTGTTTTCCATCAGATCTGATTGGCACAATACCTGATTGGTATGTGACCAAGAGAGACAAACAAAAGGTACCATGGGATAGAGGTTGCGGTTGAAATATAAAAAAAAATCAGGTCCTATCGTATTTTCCTAGACACTATTACTCAACCTCAGTGACAAATTCCAAGTGCCTATGGAAAGACGATAGGAGAATTCATCAGGACTTAGGAAAAGAGCCTGCACTGACACTGGGGGACGTATCAATGATGAGCCAGCAGATGTTATTGATGTGCGTCTGCTGTTGGGGGACTACAATTACCCGCAGATGGACTACAAATACCACATTTAGATATCTGCCCCTTCAATTCTTATAGCATTGTTTTTTGCGGGCTTTATAAATATGAACAGCATTGAGATATGACCTCCCCTCCCCCTCGTATTAATCCATATAAGTATGACTATATGAAAATATTTTTCAATAGTAAAACGTGAGATATAAAGTATCTATAATGTGTTAGCGGTCTACACATCTATCACGGTGCACCTCAACATTCAAACATGTTAAGAACAAGTTGATTTTATAGTAATAGGCATAACTTTGGACATGTCAATGCATAAACAGCACATCACATTATAAAATGCTGAACATACATGTTACATATATGATCTGCATTCGTTAGTCACAATCAGTTGTTTTGTAAACATGTCATTTTAAATGTTACGGTCTCAAGGAATTGGGGGACATCATTATCTCCTTTCCTTTCGTAAAGGATGTTGCAATGTATTTGAAGCTAAAGGATATAATAAAGCAAAGCTGTAGCTCCTCTCCTACCATCTAGAGCAGGGGTGTCAAACTCAATTTCATCGAGGGCCACATCTGTCACGATTCTTATGTCATGTCACGGTTTTAGTTTTGTGTGTCTGGTAATGGGTTTTGTTTTGCTGTTCTTGTCTCCCTGTGTTTTTCCTCCTGTCGTTAGTTTCCCTGGTGTGTCTAGTTGTCTGATTGTGTTCACCTGTTGCCCTTGTGTGTCTCCTCCCCTGCCCGGCTGTGTCTCGTCTCGTGATTACCCCTCCCTGTATTTAGTCTTGTCTCTTCCTGTGTTCAGTCTTGGTTCATTGTTTGTTTTTCCTGTCTCCCTCCATGTCAGTCACGGTCAGTTTGTTGGTGTTTTTGTAACCTTGTGCAACCTGAGTTCTTCACGCCATGTTTCTTGTGTTCATCGGCTTTTGGAATAAAGCTCGCCTTTTGTTTCTAGACCTTTTACCTTTTTGTAGTCTGCATTTGGGTCCTACCTTTTCCACAATTCTGCGTTCCTAACAACATCAGCATTATCATAATGCTGATGTGGCCCTCGATGAAAAGCGCCGGTTGTAACTTTAAGACTTTATAAATATACATATATAAAATAATGTATTATATAACATGATTGCCTCTGCATTGGATAGGGTAATAACCAGGGGTGCACATAACTTTTTTGCCCTGGTTCTCAAAGGAGCACCTGGAGATGTTGCTTGGTGCTCATCCTTAAAATGAAATAAACCGTAACTTTTGAGGGGTCTTTATTTGCCAGACACACGGCACTGAACACAGAACACACATGCAGAGGTGAACACAGAACACACATGCAGAGGTGAACACAGAACACACATGCAGAGGTGAACACTGAACACACATGCAGAGGTGAACACAGAACACACATGCAGAGGTGAACACAGTAACACACATGCAGAGGTGAACACAAGACAACATTAGCACGACCAGTAATCCTACAAGCTGTCATCACTACCCTCCTGACTGTTCTCCTCACTGTCTTCCTCTCTGTCAGACATGGTAGCTGATGATGTAGGCCTACTTCTTTCTCTCTGGTTGAGTCTGCGATTAGCTGCTTGCATCCACAAGTCAACAGCTGGGTTTGGGTCGAAAGTCTCTGTTGTCATCTTAGACAAGTGGATGTAATCAATAAAACAACATGAAAATGAAACTCTCTTAGCATTTCAGTCGGTGCACAACACATGCATATTTATATCACAAGGGTGAGGAAATCAGGAGCTAATTCAGTATAAAACAGGCAGGATAACAAAATATGACCAAACATTTCGCACAAAATAACACTACGATCTTCACTATTTCAAACATCTGGGGAATTTCTTTTTTCAATTTTTATAGTATAAGTATTTTTATTTCATTGTATTATTATAGAGAGCCCTAATGTGTATTCTATTGTTAATGTTTTTGTTGTGTTGATGAATTTATTATTATTTTTGTTACGTACATGATAAAGTGTTTCTGAACTTTCATGTTTGTGCCTGAAGACCCACTTGAAAACAAGATGGTGAATCTCAAGGGGTTTATAAATCCTCAGGCTCATCATGACCTTCACTGTAATCACACTGTGCCCAATTGATCTAAGTGAGGTTTTGATGTTGCTTTTTAAGTCTCTGCCACTTGGCTGAGATCTAACATAAAAGCCTAAATACATATTTTCTGATTTGTCATGGTGTTTAATCTGGCCCGTTCTATTCTTGGGATTTTAAAAGTATTTCGTTTTTTTTCTTTATCTTAAACACTTATACTAAAATGCATTAATTGAGTTTGTTCTATTCTTTTTGTGAATTGTGTTTCATTGGTTGATTCATTGATTGAAATCTCTGTATCTTTGTATTTCTTCTCTCTTCCGACAATAATTAATATCGATGTTTGCATTATGTCTTATTTCTCCAGCTCAGCAATCAGGCGTTGCGATGGTTCAGTCTCAGAAAAGACACGACAGCGGGACCAGAGAGGAAAACAACGAGATCTCAGAAGGTAAGTTCCTCAAGGAAAACACAAAAGACTGGCGCATCAGTCTTTTGTGAGTCCCTGGTCGTCCTCCTCTGCAAGAAGAGCACACGAAAAGAAGACTCTCTTTAAATGCCATGTCAGGTAGACAACTGTCATTCTGCAAGATCAACTGCACAATGGAAAGTAAGGAAAGAACCAAGAACACGCTTTTTTACAAAAACAGGTAAGTGGAAGTGAAAAGGCTGAAGAGTTTTGTCACAAGCTAATGCTTTTACTCCGGCGTGGAACACGTTTGATTCACCCTCCAAATCAAGACAATTTCCCCTGTTCTGTCCCTTTTTCATTTTTTGATGTCTTTACCATTACCTTCCTCATTTTGAGAGGGACGAACTCCGGCGAATTGAATATTCCTACACTTACATGGCTATTACCATCAAGCTTTATTCCCAGAGAAAATGGAGGAACAGGAAATGAAACGGTGCGAAAAAGAGAATTCAAGCAAGAGCCTGCAACAATCAGAAAATGAAGGGAGAGACTGAGTGGCAAACAAGCCTATTGTCATTTTGAAAGTGATTGTCAGCGCCACAGGCTGAGATACACAATAAAGACAGCACAAGGACAAAAAATGAAACGAGTTAACAGGCAGGTAAGCCGCAATCTCATTTTGAAAACCGCCAACGTTTGGTTTTGATTTAGAACTCAAGATAGTATCTCAAACCTTCACATAAGAATTTCAATGTTTTCGTACCATAATTGTTATTTCAATTCATTTTGTCGTTGTTTGCTGTGTGTTTAATGTTTCTTATTAATTGAAAGTTCTTCCAATGTACTGTTGCCGTTGAACGTATACTGCACAGTGGTTGACAAAATATTGAAAACACCTTTGAAAGCAACCCGACCGTTTGCATTTCTTTCAAAATCATTTTGTTGAAAAATTCGTTGTGTGTTTTGCCGTGTTCCTTTGCAGCCTTTGAGGAAGGGTTGTGTCCCTTTGTGTGAGTGGTGTTGTGTTTTAAAGCTTTGAAATGTAGGAATGGTGTTAATGATGGTGGAGATGGGACTTCTGGCAGACTGTTTTCCAACGCCAAATTACAGCTTCTGCTCTGAAAACCCTTTCCTTTCATTTTGGTATCTACATCTACTTATAAATGCATCTCAATCAGCCTCTTGTATCTCTGTAGGCAGATTCCCTTTAGATTCACTTCAGTTTAAGCTTTTATTCAGAGTGAGAAAGAAAAAATACTTGAAGCAGAACTTTCTCCTTGGTGCAAATCTCATTTCTTTTCATCGCCTCATCTCTACCCGTGCAATTATAGCCTGCCTCCTCTAAATGGGGATTTTATTCTCCCCTCAGCAGCACCAAGCCTCGCCAGGAGAGGATGGTGATTGGCATTTTTTTTCCTTAAGATGGCAGAAACCTCTCAGAATTTTTCTCTGCCTCTACCTGAAATTACTTATGCCACGTTTGCTCTGAAGTCCTCGGGTCATTTTAATCCTGTCTGAGGTTTCATGCAATTACAGATTTTCTTACTTGGTGTTGCAGCATCAGACCTAAAATGAGATTCAACTTTATTGCTCTTTTGGGTGAGTTGCAACACTAAACTTAAGACGATTGAAGATGTTTTTCTGTTGTTGCTAGGTGCAATAATCTAAACCTGTATACACATACGTTTGTGGATGATATTTAATGCATAACACTTTGATAAAAGCTTTCCACAAGAAGTTTGTTGCTGAATTAGAAGTCCTACTATATTCAAGTTTAAACATTATGTTAATTGTGCCTTTATTGATAGATAACGTTTTTAAAGGGAATATCAGAATATTGTTCTTTGGACACATTAATTAATGACTTCAATTAGTGAAACCTGCAGACTGAGCAGTATCCAGTTTATTTGCTGTCTTTATCGGATGGGTTTAAGTGGTTCCTAGGTCTATATAGCCAATCAGGAACAAGTCCAATGTGATTCATGTTTGGAGATTATTTGTAGTGGGCTTTTAAAAAAGTCAAATATATTTTCAAATTCAATAGCTCATTGAAAAAAAAACCTATACAAATGTTATTCAGTCATTTGTATATTTCTATATCTGTTTGATATGGACATTTTGATTCCTATATTATAGGACAGTTTAATACATGGAGTAGAGGACAGCTGCCTCTGTACTGTACATACAGTCGTGGAGGAAGTATTCAGATACCCTACTTAGGAAAAATAATTTATAATACACTGTATAAATACAGTATTGCAAGAAAGTACTGCATTGAAAATGGGACTTACATTTCTTTGGTTAATGGTAAAAGTATTCAAATATGATTATGAAATTCCACTCAAAGTATTTTTAGTATAAATATTTTTAGAATCATTTTTACAGAAAAAGTTGCCGCCAATGAATTGTCTGGCAGTCCTTGTTTCGTGGATACTTAAATATAATGTATGATAGTTTATTCCTCATCAGAATAGTAGTTGAAAGTAAAAAGTTCTATGTACGTTTTATGTCTGAGTCTTTGTCATAAAACATATTTAACGTAACTAAAGCCATGAACTAAATGTAGTGCATTAAAAAGCATAATATTTATCTTTGAGTTTTAGTGAAGTAGAATTATAAAGAGGCACAGAAAAAAAATCCTCAAGTAAAGTCCAGGTACCTCCCATTACAGCCCTTCCGTAAATGTACTTAGTTACTTTCATCACCCTTTACAGTTTTCCAGATGTTCGAAGAGAGCTTTTAATAATGTCACATCTGATGTCAGTCTTTTCACTGTGCGGGCACTCAAGGCGCGACAGATTTCTTAAATTGGGACTGTGTTTGCACTCGCTGCACAAGACGAGTCAAAGCAGGGAGAGCGGTGGCAGACCGGAGGGAGGAAGGAGCAGTGAGTCCACAGAGATCTGATCCAAAACGCAGACATAATTACAGCTCGGGCGTCCATAAAAGTCCTTTTTCTGACTCATTACTGCTGCTTGGGTTGTGCAAGATTACTACTCTGTTAGTCTTCTGCATCTGTCATTTTGTGTCAGTTGTAAGAGTTTCATAACTATATTTTTTACAATTATTTATTCCCAGAAAGAAAAACCAAAGCAGCATATGAAATGTACATTTGTATTGGTAACATTTGAAAGAAACTATCCTTAAATTCAGTACATTATTTTATAAGTTATACAAAGAGAGTTACTTTTTTTCAATTCTTCATGAACAAAAAAGTAATTGAGAATTAGCCTGTTTGGTACGACGGAGTATTAGGGCCACACTTAGAAAAAAACCCCAGAGATTTCGAGAATAAAGTCGTAATAATACGAGAATAAAGTCATAGTTACGAGATTAAAGTCGTAGTTTCATAAGTGACTTGAGAAGGAGACAACAGCAGCGTCCTGCAATAAAATGAGGAATGTGGAGCATCTTGTGAAGCAGTACTTTAGTTTAGGTTTCTCAAATAACGAAATACTTAATCTTTTGGCACATCAGCATCAGATTATCATAAGTATTAGAACTTTGAAAAGGTTGTGCAAGAAACTATGTCTATTATTTCGAAGAAAGAACCAAACGGACTTGGAGGAGAGTGTCTCCTTTCTGCAGGAGGAAATGGCTGGTTCTGGCCGACTACAAGGCTATCGTTGGTTACATCTACGAGCTGTTCAAAGGGGATGTGTTGTTTCACAAGAAACGATGAGACTTGTAATCAAGGCTTTGAATCCAGAAGGAGTCGAACGATAGCCTTGTAGTGGAATCGGAATGAGCTCCCCATTGAAATCAGGACAGCAGATAGCTTGCACATCTTCCGGCGCAGACTGAAAACTCATCTCTTTCGACTCCACTTCGAGCGATAGAACTACTAACAAAGCACTTATACAGTATACTAGTAAAGGACTGGCTTATCTAAAGCCAGTTGAGTAGCACTTGAAATGTTTTAGCTCTATGAAACCTGATGTACTTCTATGATTCTGTTTTCTTCAAGGTTGTATCTTGTTGGTCGAACGCACTTATTGTGTGTTAAGTCGCTTTGGATAAAAGCGTCAGCTAAATGCAATGCAATGTAATGTAGTCGGCCAGAACCAGCCATTTCCTCCTGCAGAAAGGAGACAATCTCCTCCAAGTCCGCTTCTCAAGTCACTTATGAAACTAGGACTTTAATCTCGTAATTATGACTTTATTCTCGTAACTATGACTTTATTCTCGTATTATTACGACTTTATTCTCGAAATTTCTTCTTTTTTTTTTCCAAGTGTGGCCCTAATACTCCGTCGTAGTTTGGTACAGAAATTGTAATAATATAAAATATGACAATAACTGTTATAAGTGTTTAAAATAAGTGAGAGAGGATCGTATATATACAATATATGTTTTTAAGTAATGCAGATTTCTTAAAAATAGGACATACTAGGCAACATTGGAAATAATGACTATTTGGGTTTACAACAACACCATATATAACTAACATATCCTAAAGTAATATAGCAGTAGTAATGTCTTTTAGGCTTAAAAACCTGACTTTGGAAAGTTCCAAAATGGAAAAGCTGTTGTACAGTTCAGTCAGAGGTTACTGTTAAATCTAGTGTGAAATCTCGCCTGCGTGTTCATCTTCCTCTCCCCTTTCTGTTTACTGCCTCTCCCTGCTTCTCAAGCTGTCTCCTCCACTCTGCGAGAGTTGCAGATAAATATAAAGAAGTCCCGCAGCAGAGGCTGTCACTGGAGGAGGCAGGCCGTTAGTGGAAGAGCGAGCGCGAGGTCTGACTGGGACCAACATAGTAACAGTTGGTGATGTTTGTCAAAGATCCCTTCATGTCGCGTGGCCTCTGCCTCGGCTCTGGCAGCAAGAGTCGCCATTTGGCCAAAGTGTCAGAAATTCTCTGGGAATAAAAGAAGGGGGGTTACAAAGTAAACCTGAAAAAGTTAAGAGAACTCAAAATAATTTTGGGCAAGTGACTGCCTTGGTTCTTTTTAGATGATGCACTTAAAGTCAATTGTTTTTTATGAGGAGCCGGTCCTCTCACACACACATTAGACCATTTAGTAAGGTCAAAAGCGCC